AGAATAGAATAGAATAGAATAGAATAGAATAGAATAGAATAGAATAGAATAGAATAGAATAGAATAGAATAGAATAGAATTCTTTATTGGCCAAGTGTGATTGTACACACAAGGAATTTTTCTTGGTGCAAATGCTCTCAGTGTACATAAAAGAAAAAATACATTCGTCAAGTGTCAAGCATCATAAGGTACATCACTTAATGATAGTCGTAGGGTACAATAAGCAATCAAATCATACTAGGAAATAGAATATAATTCTTTATTAGCCAAGTGTGGTTGGACACACAAGGAATTCCCCCTGGTGCTCTCAGTGCTCTCAGTGTACATAAAAGAAAAATACATTCGTCAAGAATCAAGAATCATCAGGTACACTTAATAATAGTCATTGGATACAATAAGCAATCAAATCATACCAGGAAACAGTCAAAATAAATCATTAGGATACAAGCAACAAAGTTACAGTCATACAGTCTTAAGTGGGAGGGGATGGGGGGGTTAAGGAGTGATGAGAAGATTAATAGCAATAGTAGTTGCAGACTTAGTAAATAGTTGGCCAGTGTTGAGGGAATTATTTGTTTAGCAGAGGGATGGCACTTGGGAAAAAACTGTCCTTGTGTCTAGTTGTTCTGGTGTGCAGGGCTCTATAGCATCATTTTGAGGGTAGGAGTTGAACCAGTTTATGTCCTGGATGTGAGGGGTCTGTGGATATTTTCACAGCCCACTTTTTGACTCATGCAGTATACAGGTTCTCCATGGAAGGCAGGTTGGTAGCCATTGTTTTTTCATGTGGTGCGACACCCGGAAAAATACAGCATCCTTCACTTCATTCTCCAGGGAAAGATTGAAGGCAAATAAATGTCCAGGCAGAAGAAGAACATCATGGCTTCAAAATCTAAGGGACTGGGTTGGACAAAACTCAACAGCACTTTTTTGTGTGGCTTTTGATAGGATTGCCAACACGATCGCCTATGTCCGATGACAGATATATGGCACAAGAAGAAGAATTGTCCTGGAGATTTATCTTGAGTGTTGGATGAAATTGCCATATTTCTTTCTATGTTATTCTGAGTGTCTTGATCAATTTCAATTGGTTGTTTACAACATAGAATAATAAGGTTGCATGAGACCTTGGGGGTCTTCTTGTCCAACCCCTTATTTGAACAGGGGAGCCTATATGCTGTTCAGGGCAAATCGTTGTTCAATTTCTTCTTAAAAGCCCCCAGTGATGGATCACCCACAACTTTTGGAGGTAAACCATTCCACTGATTAATTGTTCTCACTGTCTGGAAGTTTCTCCTTAATTCCAGGTTGCTTCTCTCCTGGATTAATTTCCATCCATGGCTTCTTCTCCTGCCTTCAGGTGCTTTGGAGAATAGCTTGACTCCCTCTTCTTTGGGGCAGCCGCTGAGAAATTGGAAGACTGCTATCCTATAGTGTCTAGTCCTTCCTTTCATTAAACCAGACATAATTCCTAATTCTACACTTCCTGGCTGCAAATAGACAGTCAAAGGAACATCTGAACATCTCACACATTTGTTTACTTTTCATCCACACACATACCCCCCAAAATCCCTCTATTTGAAGAATGAAACAGCCAGAAAATCAGCAGATGTCTGTCCCACCGTTAATGTCACAGAAGCTGAGTAGCAGATATGAGGAGAAACCATCAAAGTTTAGATTAACAGAGTTGTCGGTCATCTAGTCCAATCCGCTGCCCAAACAGGAGACCTTACATCATTTCTGACAAATGGCAGTCCAATCTATTTTTCAAAGACTTAAGTTATGATGCTCCTACAACTTCCAAAGGCAAGCTGTTCAATTGGTTGATTGTTCTATCAGAAAATTTCTCCTTATTTCCAGGTTGAATCTCTCTTTGATCAGTTTCCATCCATTGTTCCTTGTCTGGCCTTCAGGTGCTTTGGAAAATAGCTTGACCCCCTTCCTCCTCTCTGTGGCAGCCCCTCAAATACTGGAAGTCTGCTCTCCTGTCTTCCCTGGTCCTTCTCTTCACTAAGCTAGCCAAGTCCAGTTCCTGCAACTGTTCTTGTTTTAGTCTTTAGTATTGCTGGTGGCAGTAATGGTTTACATCATAAGCAAAGGTTTAGAAAAAAGTGATAAAAACATGCAAAAATGTGGGAATTGGAGGCTGCTCTTACCTTTTTTACTAATTCCTCAATGAGGTTATTTCCAACTGGGATTAAAATTCCCCCGAGGATGGCCAACACTGCCCCAATGATCGTTCCCGTCAGCAAACCACAATTTCGATTACACCCCATGTTCCTTCACGGAGTCACGGGTCCTTGCAGCTGCTCTTTCTGTTCCTTTGACCTTTTAAACGTTTTTTTCTGATGTTCCTTCAAAATATATATCACAGAGATCTAAGCATGTTTCAAAAGAGGTTAAAGTACCAAGTTCAGCATAAACTGCTCAGTGGAAGTTCATTGAGAAACATGTGGTGGGGCGGGGAGGAAAGCAATTAAAACTTAGAATAGCAAAGATGAAAAGTTGATATCATTGAAGCCTGGCCAGACTGAGATTGACAAAGCAGTTCCCATTTAATATCAGAGTTAACTTTTCTTTTTCTTTATAGGAGATTCAGAAGTGAAGATCAGTAAGCAATCATTTCAGGCTGAATTGTCCATCTCTTTCTAAAATAAGTCTGCGTTTTGATCCAGAAGGTGTGTGGGTGGTGTGAGGACTAATCTGAAGTCACATTTTATTCAGTGTCATCATAACTTTGAATGGTAATTAAATAAATGCTTGTAAGTTAGAATAAAATTCTTTATCGGCCAAGTGTGGTTGGACACATAAGGAATTTGTCTTTGGTGCAAATGCTCTCAGTGTACATTTAAAAAAGATACATTCATCAAGAATCATCAGGTACAACACTTAATAATAGTCATAGGGTATAATAAGCAACCAAATCATACTAGGAAACAGTCAATATAAATCATTCGGATACAAGTGACAAAGTTACAGTCATACAGTCACAAGTGGGAGCGGATGAGTGATAAGGAGTGATGAGAAGATTAACAGTAACAGTAATAGTAGTGCAGACTTTGTAATAGTTGAACAGTGTTGAGATAAGAAGTTATATATGAAGTTAGTAGCAGTAACAGAATTGGAAAGGATCTCGGAGGTCTTCTAGTCTAACCCCCTGCACAAGCAGGAGACCCTATACCATTCTAGACAAATTGATGTCCAGTATCTTTCTAGAAACCTCTAGTGATGAAGCCCTCACAATTTCTGAAGGCAAGCCATTCCACTGGTTAATTGTCCTTACTATTAGGAAGTTTCTCCTTAGTTCTAGGTTGCTTCTCTCCTGGATTAATTCTTGCTCTGCCTTCAGGGGTTTTGGAGAATAGCTTGAACTCTCTTTTCTTTGTGGCAGCCCCTCAAATATTGAAAGATGCTACAATGTCACCCATAGTCCTTCTCTTTCTTGGACTAGGCATACCCAGTGCCTGCAACCATTCTTTTCTTGTATCTGCCTTCTGAAATGAGTGAAGGAAGAGCATTAAACTAACTCAGTTTAAAGTCCTGAGAATGTTGGATAGTGTAAAATGGTTTAAATATCCTGCTTATCTCAACATGCAAGAGAGGCTGCTCAGGAAAACACTTTGTCTTGTTGCCTTTCCAAACCAGAATTCAATGTCCAACTATTTACCAAGTCTGCATTATTATTACTATTAATCTTCTCATCACTTATTGCCCATCCCCTCCCACTTGTGACTGTATGACTGTAACTTTGTCGCTTGTATCCTTGCAATTTATATTGACTGTTTCCTAGTATGATTTGATTGCTTATTGTACCCTATGACCATTATTAAGTGTTGTACCCAATGATTCTTGACTCTTGACGAATGTCTCTTTTCTTTTATGTACACTGAGAGCATTTGCACCAAAACAAATTGCTTGTGTGTCCAATCACACTTGGCCAATAAAGAATTCTATTCTATTCTGTTCATTTTCTTTTCTATTCTATTCTATTCTATTCTATTCTATTCTATTCTACTCTATTCTATTCTTAGAATTCTCTGGGAGGGTGGAGCTGGTTGCGATGGTACGGTATGCGATCCTGGAGGTCTGAGATCGCTGCCAATATATTTGCTCCTGGATGGCCCAATAAGATCTAAACCATCCTGAAGAGGTGGTGAATGTAAAGAGCGCATCCTGTCTATTTCAGGCATATTGCAAAGTCCCTGGTAGATCCAGGAGAAGCTCTTTTTGCCAGTGGCAAAGTGGCAGCCATTAAAGCTGCTAAAGTTGGGACAGCTCCGAAATGAAAGAGAATGGAAAGAGAGAGTGTGCTGGTTTGGTGAGAACTTTTTCTTTATTTTAAGACTTGAAAGGACACCCTAAGGGAAAGAAAGAATCTGTAAAAGTTTTGACAGAAGTGATTAAGCGGCGATTTTAAACAGGAATGTCAAAGTAATTTTTTTTCTCTCATTGCTGGATTTGCTACACATGATTTTATATTTGAAACTGGACTGGGTTTTTTTTTTCTTTCTCTTCTTTCACCTATTTTTTTTCTCCTTTTTGACTTTATAATATTTTAGGCTAGAGACTCCTTTTTAGTCATTTTTTAAAATATCATTTTTTCCTTTTTAATTAATTTTTATATTTTGTTTGGAAAAGGAGGGGGAAAGTGAAAGCAAAAGAAACTTTGTAACACTGCCAATTAGAGGCTTGGAAATATTCTATTTCTTTTTCTTGACCAGTTAAAGGTGAGAAAGAACTGAGACTTCTTTTCAAGAACATTCTTATTTGATAAGATAGAGGGAAGAACATGGGAGAGTATTATTACAGGTGCTCTTCTGGGTTTCTATCAACAGCTGGAGTCTGGTGTTGAAGCTTATAGAAAAAAAGGTGATAAGACTCTGAAGAAGAGAGTTATAAATGTTAACAAAAGCCTTGGATAATCAAACAAGGTGCAGTGTGCTCTTTTTAGTTTTTCTAAGCTGTGCTACCTCTGGCAAGAGAGAAAACATTGAAATATAAAGACAAGGAGATTGTGGTCCTGAAACAGGTACCCAGAAGAGTGAGAGAGATGAGAAGATAATACCGATTTCTGACCAAAAAGCTACTTTAAAAAGAGGTGAATTATAGATGGCTGATTCCAGAACGTTTAATGTTCACATGGCAAGAACAGAGACATAGAATTGACTCAATTGAGAAAGCTGAATCATTTTACACAGAATTTTTTGGAGGGAAAGAGGAAGAGGCAGAAAAAGAAATCTCACTAATTGAATTTCAAGAGGACTCCCAAATGACGACTGAAAAAGAAGAAGGTGCACTAGGTGAAAAGGTGGAAGCCAAAGAACAACGTGAACCAAGATCTACGAGAGCTGCTAAACCTAACTACAAAATATAACCATGGAAGAGAAAAAACTGATTACAATTAATATAAATGGACTTAACTCAGCTGTTAAAAGAAGGAAAACTTTCCATAAATTAGAGAAATTAAAATTTTAATATAATCTGCCTACAAGTAGGACATATCAAAAAGCAATATGAACAATTGTTGATACAGCCAAAATTAGGGAAAATATTTACTTCTTTCACACAATGCAAGAAAAGAGGAGTGGTTTTATACATTAGCGAAATTGATCTATACTGATGATGATGGAAGAATACTAATGGTGGAAATAATGGACAATAATATGAAAACACCCCTGATTGCAATCTATGCCCCGAATGACAATCAAAAAGAATTTTATAAAAAAATTACATATGAAAATAATTGAACTGGACTATGCTAATACTGTTATGATGGGAGATTTTAATGGAATTGTAAACAATAAATTGGACTATACAGCACAGAAAACAACAAAGCAAAACAGAAAGACTCTCCCTAAATCTTTTTTTAAAATGGTAGATGAAATAAACTTAAAAGATACATGGAGAGAAAGAAATGCTAAAACTAAACAATATACCTTCTACTCAAATAGACACTTATCATGGTCCAGAATAGATATGATATGGATGTCAACAGAATTGTTAACTAATATTCAAGAAATAAATATTGAAACAAGTACTTGAGCAGATCACAATCCAATGACAATTAAATGGAAAGGACAAAGAAGAAGATCTAGATGGATGTTAAATAATACTATATTAAAGGAAAAAGACCACACAGTGGATGGAGAAAGAAGTGGCTTTCTTTTTTAGAGAAAACAAAAAAGAAGATACATCAATCCAGAATGTATGGGACACAATGAAGGCATATGCCAGAGGCTTGCTAATAGACTATACAAGGAGAAGAAATACCATGAAAAGACTAGCCTCTAAGGCATTAGGGGATGAGTATAAAGGACTTGAAAAAGAGCTACAGAAAATGCCACAGAAAAAGGACACTGTTAAAAATGGATATAATTAATCATAAAATAGGTCTAATAGAAAAAGAATTAGCACAGAAAATCAGAGGTGCTAAACAGAACTACTTTGAAGATGCAAATAAATCAGGTAGATGGTTAGCATATAAATTGAGAAAGGAGACAGAATCAAGGAAAATATTGTAATTAATAGATGACCAAGGCCAAATTTGCTATGGTAGTAAAGAGAAGAAGGAAATCATATGAGACTATTATGGGAAACTATACACACAAGAGAATGATGAGGAAAGAGTTAAACAGTATTTGCAGAATGCTAATTTACCCCAGATACCTAAAGATTGAAACAATGTTAGAAAGCAATATAATGATGATGGAGTTAACTGAAGGACTCAAGAAGCAGAATAATGGAAAGGCACCAGGCCCAGATGGACTTCCGGCAGGATTTTATAAAACATTACAAGAACCGTTGAACCTTCCATTGCTAGAAGTTATGTCAAAGAAGAAGATACCTAAATCGTGGTCAGAAGCTTATATTACACTTGTCCCAAAAGAGGAGGTCGATCCATTACAAATCAAGAACTATAGACCTATTTCCTTACTAAATGCAAATTATAAAATTTTTGCTTCAATATTGGCAGAAAGACTTCACAAAAACGTAAACAATTTTATCCATCCTGATCAAAATGGATTTCTGCCAAAGAGACAAATTAAAGATAATATGAGAGTAATCTTGGACACTTTGGAATACTACGAGGCACATCCTGAAAAACAAATGGCTTTGATATTTCTAGATGCACAGAAGGCATTTGATAATGTGAATTGGTGATTTATGTTATTACAGCTGGAACAGATGGGCTTTGCTAAAAAACTTATTTAAGCAATAGAAGCTGTATATCATAAGCAAACGGCAAAGGTAATGATAGAGGGAGAACTGACAGACT